AACTGAATACCACATATCCAGTTCAAAAGGAAAGAAAGCGCGCTCATAAATATATTTTACGTATGAACAAAACCTAACAGAAAATAAGGCACTAAATACCATTAACTTAAACGGAAGCTACTAATTAACGTTAACTATACGTAGTATGTATAAATTGATCGAAACACGTTTTCTATAATTCTGTTTAAGTCTGATACGTTTTTATTATAATAACCTTAAAAAGTATCCTGTAATCTACCTATATACATAATGTTACGACGCTGGTAACACGTCATGAGTTTCTAGAAGGATCATGACTGTTCCTGACAACTCCAGTGTTTGCCAGACGCCCTCTATTTTTGTAAAGCACGCCCGGCAAATAAAGCGGAGATATAATTGCAGATAGGAAGATATAGAGACATATAATCGAGTCAAGTGAGCGGTAGTGACCGTAAGGAAAGTGCGTGAATCGTTGTGAATTATAGCGTGTGTTTAAGATAAAGTGACTGTGGAAATTAAGTGTATTGTAAAGTTGTATTGAGAAAGAATAAACTAGTTTTATTTAAGAAAGGAATTGTATCGCTAAATTTCTTCGGAAAGAATATTTACGGGAAATTAACAAACGACCAGAGACGTAGCAATAAGAAACATGCTGAGGACCGATAATGCTGCCTGTCACGAAGGAATATGTGGATAATTGTGTGCAGTTTGTCGAACCTTAGACTCAAAAACACTGTATAGGCTTTTCTGACAGTGAAAAGTTCATTTAAACACTCGGAAGTTGTTTGTTGTAATGGTTAGTATTTAGCACTAATGTCAAGCAACTTTGTTTTTTTGTTGCTGTAGTCTTTTTTTTTGCTTGTTTGTTTCTTTTTGAACCTTCTACTAAACATCTGTTCATTTTCTAGTTTTCATACCTGGCTTGGTCTTTGAAATGTGAAACATCAGATGGTTTATAGCATTTGTGCCATGTTAGATAATACAATTAAAAACAACAAACTTCAGAACGTTCGTATCAAAGAAAAGTGCGTGCACGGAACTCTTGATAAGTAGATGTAAATTAAGGCGTTGGTTTATGGTAGAAGAAGGGGATCATCTTTTTCTTAATATTTTGCAGTTTTATAGAGATAAATAGTTTGAATAAGATTATAACTATTTACATACTTTGTCAGCTAATTTTGCATTTTCTCACATATATTCAGATATACGAAGAATTTACAAAACATACCTAAATTTCAAATGAAGCCTATACACCATCTATGTTAATTCTATTTTCTACAAAAACGGTTTGTACGTATTCTAACTGTTTGGGTTTTATTAATTTCAGATGGAAAACTAATCCATGTGAACAACATCATCACCTGCTATACTTGTGTACAAACTAACCTAGAGAAACAACATCATCATCACCTGCTATACCGTGTACACCTTGACCAAGAGGAACGACATCATCACCTGCTAAACTAGTGTACACCCTCACCAAGAGAAACAGCATCACCACCTGCTATACTTGTATACACCCTGACCAAGAGGAACGACATCACCACCATCTATACTTGTGTACACCCTGACCAAGAGGAACGACATCACTACCTGCTATGGTTGTGTACACCCTGACCAAGAAGAACGACATCACTACCTGCTATGGTTGTGTACACCCTGACCAAGAAGAACGAAATCACCACCTGCTATACTTGTGTACGTCCTGACCATGAAGAACGACATCACCACTTGCTATATTTGTGTACACCCTGACCAAGCGAAACGGCATCATTACCTGATATATTTGTGTACACCCTGACCAAGAAAAACGAAATCACCACCTACCATACTTAATTACACTCTGACCAAGAGAAACGACGTCACTATCTGATATATTTGTGTACACCCTGACCAAGAAGAGCGACACCACCACCTGCTATACTTGTGTACACCCTGACCAAGAGAAACGAAATAACCACCTGCCATACTTAATTACACCCTGACCAGAAGAAACGACATCACCACCTTCTATACTTGTGAACACCTTCACCAAGAAGAACGACACCACCACCTGCTATGCTCCTGTACACCTGACCTAGAAAAACGACAACACCACCTGCTATACTTGTGTACACCCTCACCAAGAGGAACAACATCACCACCTGCTATACTTGTGTACACCCTGACCAAGAGGAACGACATCGCCACCTGCTATACTTGTGTACACCGTCACCAAGAGGAACGACATCGCCACCTGCTATACTTGTGTACACCCTGACCAAGAGAACGACATCACCACCTGCTATACTAGTGTACACCCTGACGAAAAGAAACAACATCACCACCTGCTATACTTGTGTACACCCCGAGTTCAAGAAGAACATCATCACTACCTGCTATACTTGTGTACATCCTGACCAAGAGAAACGACACCACCACCTGATATACTTGTATAAACCATGACCAAGAGGAATGACATCACCACCTACTATACTTGTGTACACCCTGACCAAGAGAAACAACATCACCACCTGCTATACTTGTGTACACCCCGAGTCCAAGAGGAACGACATCACTACCTGCTATACTTGTGTACATCCTGACCAAAAGAAACGACATCACCACCTGCTATACTAGTGTACACTTCGAGTCAAAGTGGAACGACATCACAACCTGTTGTACTAGTGTACAACCTGACCAAGAAGAACATCATCACTACCTGCTATACTTGTGTACATCCTGACCAAGAGAAACGACACCACCACCTGATATACTTGTATAAACCATGACCAAGAGGAATGACATCACCACCTGCTATACTTCTGTACAACCTGATCAAGAGAAATCATCACCACCTACTATATTTGTGTACACCTGACCAAGAGAAACAACATCACCACCTGCTATACTTGTGTACACCCCGAGTCCAAGAGGAACGACATCACTACCTGCTATACTTGTGTACATCCTGACCAAAAGAAACGACATCACCACCTGCTATACTAGTGTACACTTCGAGTCAAAGTGGAACGACATCACTACCTGTTGTACTAGTGTACAACCTGACCAAGAAGAATAACATCAGCACCTGCTATACTGATGTACACCATGACCAAGAGGAACAACATCACCACCTGCTGCACTTGTGTACACCCTGACCAAGAAGAACGACACCACTACCTGCTATCTTCTGTACACCCTGACCTAGAAGAATGACATCACCACCTGCTATACTTCTGTACACCCTGATCAAGAGAAAAACATCACCACCTACTATACTTCTGTACACCTGACCAAGAAGAACAAAATCACCACCTGCTATACTTCTGTACACCCTGACCAAAAGAAACGCCATCACCACCTACTATACTTGTGTACACCCTGACCAAAAAAAACGACATCACCACCTTCTATACTTGTGCACACCATGATCAAGAAGAACAACATCACTACCTGCTATATTTGTGTACACCCTGACCAAGAGAAACGACATCACCACCTACTATACTTGAGTACACCCTGACCACGAGAAACGACACCACCACCTGCTATACTATGTACACCCTGATCAAGAGAAACGCCATCACCTCCTTCTATACTTGTGTACACCATGACCAAGAAGAACAACATCAGCACATGCTGTACATTTGTACACCTTGACCAAGGGAAACGACGTCACCACCTATTATACTTGTGTACACCCTGACCAAGAGAAAGGACATCACCACCGGCTTTAGTTGTGGATACCCTGCTCAAGAAGAACAACATAACCACCTGCTATACTTGTGTACACCCTGACCAAGAAGAATGACACCACCACCTGTGTAAACGAAGAGTGCAAGAGGAATGACATCACCACCTGCTATATTTGTGTACACCCTGACCAAAAAAACGACATCACCACCTTCTATACTTGTGTACACCCTGACCAAGAGAAACGACATCACTACGTGATATATTTGTATACACCTTCACCTAGAAGAACGACATCACCACCTGCTATATTTCTGTACACCCTGACCAAGAGAAACAACATCACCACCTTCTATACTAGTGTTCACCCTGACCAATAGAAACGACATCACCACCTACTATACTTGTGTACACCCTGATCAAGAAGAACGACATCATCACATGTTAAACTAGTGTACACCCTGACCAAGAGAAACACCATCACCACCTGCTATACTTGTATACACCCTGACCAAGAGGAACGACATCACCACCATCTATACTTGTGTACACCCTGACCAAGAGGAACGACATCACTACCTGCTATGGTTGTGTACACCCTGACCAAGAAGAACGACATCACCACCTGCTATACTTGGGTACACCCTGACCAAGAAGAACCACACCACCACCTTCTATACTTCTGTACACTCTGATCTAGAAGAACGAAATCACCACGTGATATACTTCTGTACACCATGACGAAAAGAAACAACATCACCACCTGCTATACTTGTGTACACCCCGAGTTCAAGAAGAACGTCATCACCACCTGCTATACTTGTGTACATCCTGACCATGAAGAACGACATCACCACCTGCTATACTTCTGTACACCCTGATCAAGAGAAAAACATCACTGCTTACTATACTTGTGTACACCTGACCAAGAGAAACAACATCACCACCTGCTCTACTTGGGTACACCCCAAATCCAAGAGGAACGACATCACTACCTGCTATACTTGTGTACACCCTGACCACGAGAAACGACATCACCACCTGCTACACTTGTGTACACCCTAACCAAGAGGAACGACATCACCTCCTGCTATACTTCTGTACACACTAACCAAGAAGAACGAAATCACCACCTGCTATACTTCTGTACACCCTGAAAAAGAGAAACAACATCACCACCTGCTATAATTGAGTACACATCGAGTCAAAGAGGAACGACATCACCACCTGCTATACTTGTGTACACCCCGTGTCCAAGAGGAACGACATCACTACGTGCTATACTTGTGTACACCCTGATCAAGAGAAACGACATCACCACCTGCTATACTTGTGTACACCCTGACCAAGAGAAACAACAACACCACCTGCTATACTTTTGTTAATAAAGACGCACTGCATCACCACTATATAGCTCGATGTAGCTGTGATTACATGATCCGCTATGGGAACAAGAAAAATTGCTTGCTGGTTTGTATGAATGATTGTAAAATGTTCATGAATAATTCTAAAGTTAAAATTCAAATAAAATAATAATGATAAAGAAATAAATTAATGAAATGCTGAAACTGTTAGAATTACATAATGTTGAGTTTTTAGCTATTAACTCATAATCTGATCTGTAAATGACCTAAATAAAGCTTTATAATAAATGCAGTTCACTTGTATGAGTTGGTTCACACTACTACGTCTGTCGTATCCCAGCCAGTTTGATAAGCCCTGGTAGTTGATGTATAAGCTGGTTCACACTACTACATCTGTCGTATCCCAGCCAATTTGATAAGCTCCGGTATTTGATGTATAAGCTAGTTCACACTACTACGTCTGTCGTATCCTAGCCAGTTTGATAAGCCCTGGTAATTGATGTATAAGCTGGTTCACACTACTACATCTGTCGTGTTCCAGCCAGTTTGATAAGCTCCGGTATTTGATGTATAAGCTAGTTCACACTACTACGTCTGTCGTATCTCAGCCAGTTTGATAAGCCCTGGTAGTTGATGTATAAGCTGGTTCACACTACTACGTCTGTCGTATCCCAACCAGTTTGATAAGCCCTGGTAGTTGATGTATAAGCTGATTCACACTACTACGTCTGTCGTATCCCAGCCAGATTGATAAGACCTGGTATTTGATGTATAAGCTGGTTCACACTACTACGTCTGTCGTATCCCAGCCAGTTTGATAAGCCCTGGTATTTGATGTATAAGCTGGTTCACAAGCTGGCAGTTGTCGTGCATGAAAGTTCATGATATGTATCCAGCGCCTAGAACATTACTATGTCTGTCGTATTCCAGGCAATTTGATGAGCTCTGGTATTTGACGAAAAGGCTTCGTTGGCACTATATATGGTATATATAGTGTGATTGGCACGTTGTAACATTCTTCTTGTTTTCTTTCACTCATGGGTTCTTAGAATTTAGTAGTTTGTTGTGTTTGCTTTGTCTTTTTGTCAAATATAAGAACCAGGTGAAACCAACTGTACATTTCCAACACTCAACGGCAACACCAAACATTTACTTTGGCTGAATAACTCACGCTTTCCTCTAGAAGTTACATCTTATATGCTGAGTTAATTCCTTTGTCCAAATCTTTAAAATGTAAGATAGAATGACGTCATTGTTCAATGCTAGGTAAGAAATATTGAAAGGTTTACTGGGAAGAAAGAAGGTACGTGTGAAAAAAGGTTGCCGAAAGAAAAGGGAATAAAGATAAACTAAACAAAACGAAGGCAAAGAATTGACACAGAATAACAGGAAGGTAAACACAGAAGAAAATCATGGACGAGACAAAACTCTGATGGGGAAAACATAATACCGAGATAGACAGAAAGTGAAAACATTTCTAATACAACTAGAACTGATGGGTAAACTCAAGGGAATATTCATGTAAATATACTCGTACTGATAAATATAAGGGTTGGATTTGTCTGACAACGTGGTACAGGTGCTTTCGATATGTATTCGTTCTGTATGTATACGTATCTCCTTAGCTCTTATGGAGGTACACAAAACGTACAAAAGATCAGCTGGATCGTGTTCACGCAATCTTGACAAAACAAACAAACTCAAGTCAAAGTCAACACGTTTTACAGCACTATCAAAACCATTAGTGAACTAAGATCTCGTTTAGGTATTTCTAACAGCAAGCTGCCATAATCTGGAACTAAAAAATTGTTGAGACACTTCTGACGGTATAAGTATGTACAAATACAACCAGGACGGAACCAGAGTATCTTGAAGACGTTTCCATAGATACTTTGTACGCATAAAATGATAAATCATGAATATTACAAGAACTTAAAAATACTATATGAATTATTTAAAATATTAGAACGCTGTGAAACGATAACAACACCTGTCACGCATTTTGTACGTATATACATACGTATATGTATATATTTAGTAGGTACAAGCAACATACGGTGAAACTAAGCAAACTCTCAAACGCTTTGTGATTTTGTTGTTTACTCGTTTGTATAATTACATTTCAAAACCAGGTGTTAATGATTACAGCAACTGACGCTCGGTTTGCGATACAACGAAGGAAAGTACTTTCATTCATTTTGCCATATGTATAAAGGAGGGTCAGTCCTTGCCATATGTATAAAGGAGGGTCAGTCTTCGCGCTCATCACATATATTTTGCCAT